AGTCTGCTCTGGCGGATGTGGAGCGGGCGCACGCTTCGGTCGCTCGATTGGCCATTTTGGGGGCTCAGTCTGGTGTGATTCCTGCTCCATCTTCGTCCCCGAAACCACGAGCAGCCGGCTGCAGACTGTGAGGAGCTCCTGCAACGAGCGGAAGACGTATTCACCAAGGTCGAGCCGCCATCTTGCATCCGTTCAGGAAAGTTGACGGAATTTGTCGAACGCCAAGTCTCGTTTCATTCTATCTTTTGCAGTTCCTGAAGCAGGTGTCGACCTTCGCTTCTGAGCTCCTCCCGAAGATTGACAGCCAGGCTAAAGTCGGGGTGCTTGTGAGCGGAGCAATTTCCCGTCAGTGCTGTCCCAGTTCCAGGAGCCCCTTCCGAAGGAGATGTTGTGCTCGCTGAATGCCACCATTGCAGAGGCGGAGGCCCGTTACGCTGCTGTTTCTGCTTCTTGGGATGCATCTTAGTGTTGTCGACTGGTTGCTGCACCTGCCAAGCCTTCAAACGTAGAAGGTCCCTGTGGGCGCCATCTCCAGGTGAAGTCCGACGTTCTGCCGGAGACACTTCTCAATGCAGAGCTCGGCTCAAAGCTGCGCCTCGGTTGCTGAGAGGCGGTGAAGTGACCCAACCCATCGCTCGGCCGTAGTGCTTGGCTTCAGGTACCCTGGGTTGCTCAAGAAGGACCGGGGCATGGGATCCGACGAAATCTTTTGCAAGTTTAGGGCACGTCGGACGTCGTGGAAAGTCCTGTGATAAAGGGCCGTCCTAAAGATGTAGATCCTGCCTGAGTCGTGTGCAGGTTGAAGCTGTATGCAGAAGAGACATGCAAGAGCTGCAGAAGAGGGAGCTGGAGAACTTTCGGGTGCCTTTGTCGCACTTTGTTAGAAGCGGCCTTGGCAACAGAGCTTCTTACCAACCCACTCTGATCTTTGGTTTTTGAGCTGATGCCCATATGCCAGAATCCCACTGCCTGTAAGTTTTTACTTCTCTCGTCGCGTCTCTCGGTCTTGTCGGGGCTTGATGTTGGACCTTGAGTGTTTTCCGAAGCTTGCCGATCTGTCGGGCCTCCGGCTCTTCTTTCCCTAATTTGCAGCATGCAGGTCGGATCGTAGGATCTCCCCCGAGGTTACAATGTGATCATGCACTGTAGTTTTCAGCTCAAGGTTAATCAGAGGCGTGAGTGATTTCTTTATGGATTGACCAGTTGGGATCTCTATCAAGGGAACGGTCTGGAGAACCGTAGAGTTTACGCGTTCTTCCTAGACAGCGCCAACTCCCCGGATGGCTGAAACTGCCAAGCTTGAACCTCTTTCAAACTCAAAGTTTAGAAAGGCACACTCTGCGCTGGTGCCCTCAACCGGCAACCAGCACTTTAGAGACAACGCCCCATTCCACGCCAGACCATCCCCTGTCCACGTCCTCGGAGTGTCCTGTGGTCGGCCTTTATAGCCTTATAGTTAGTAGATAACAGAACAATCGTGACGCTACGCACGGTTCTCCTCTTTGGGCTTGTTTTGTGTGAGCGTGCAGATACTACAAAAATCGCACATTCAATGCGTCTCCACGAGCATCCCCACGTAGTCCCGGCTCAAGACCGGTTCGGGAAGGATTTTGTACTTTTGGCTCCTCAGAGATCTTTCCAGGCCGAAGGTGGCCTAAACTACCCTCCGAGTCATACTCGTAGCACTCAAAAATCTCCTCCATGCCAGCTGTTGACAGGCCTTGCTGCGCAAAGGCGGCTTGGACGACAGCTTCGATGCCAAGGTGGCACAATATGCTGCAGAGCGCAGCCGACTCGTGTCCGAAGACTGGCTGCCGTTCTAATTTTGTTTGCTCTGGTTCGGGATCAAGCGGGGCAAAAGCAGGAGAGGTGGGGTTAAGTACATGCAGCGTTCCCGCAAAGAGCTTTTTGAGACCGATGCTGGAAGATGAGCCCGGTAGTCAGCATCAGAGGCGAGAGTTTCGCGCAGATGTTTGCAGCGCTGGAGAGGTTCCGAAGCTTGTTCTTACTCTGCGCCGAGGAAAGCTGGCAGAGGTCATCAAGGTTCACGAAGACCCTGTGACGGCATTCGAGCATGCCGTCACCAGAGTGCTGATGCCATGCTCATGTTATTCTCCAGCGTTGTCATACCGCACAACTCATGACATCTTACTGGGTCGAGCGAACAAGGAAGCCTTGGCCCATTCCGATCACCGGCCTTTGAGGGAACAAGTTCAGCCAGGATGTCGCTACATAGAATGCTTTTGCTTCGATAGAGGCGCCCTAGGAAATCAGGCAGAAGGTGGATGCATCCAGCCTCCCAAGCCTTCAGTCCTTCGGTTGCCGTTGAAGGAGGCTCCATCCTCAGGATCCTCACGTGGAACACTCTGGAGTTCCCTTCCTTGACGGGGAAAGTTGTGCAGGATGGGAGTCCTGGCAGACTTGGATAGGAGCCCTGTGCACTGCAGCCAAGGGTCTGTGGGTTCTGCTCTGCCCGAGGATCCTGCCGTACTGTCGACAAATGCTGCGACAGCTGAAGCGCCGCCTTGCCGCAAAGCAGCTGCTGACCCAACAATGAGAGTCTTTTCGTCCGGCATTTAGCGCGAGGCAGGACAGCGAGATTTATAGGCATCTGGTTGTTTCAAGTCCTGTGGGGTGAAGCGCAAGTCTCGCATGCCAAGCTTAACCGAGGAGAAAGCCCGGAGGACTCCAGCAGAGACCTTTTCGTCAAGTGGTGCAGGTTCTTCTTATGAGGTTAAGTTGTCCTTGCATAACGGACCTGATTTTGGCATCGTGTGCTCCGAGGGGTGCCCGCACGCGGTTCGAGACAATGCTCGGTGTCATCTGATGGGAGGGAACATGATGCCTTAGGAGGCGGAGCTCTTCATCCATGCGATGACATCGCCAACAGCAGCTTGGCGATTCTCGTGGAGCCCCATTCAAAGCCAGGTCGCATCTGCGTCCCAGAAGTGGCGCAAGAGTTCTTGCGCACAGCTCGACCTGTGTCGTGCGACAAGCATAGCTGAGGTCATAGCTGCGCACGCAGCCTATGTGGAGAAGGTCATTGTCGACGCGCTGTCGACAGAAGTGGATGTGGCTTTCCTTCAGGAGCTGAACCATGAAGTTGCCCAGAAGGTGCTGTTGACGGGTGTCTGCACTTGCGTAGCTATGCAACGGGCAACAAACCTTTCCTCGTTCACGAGAGTTTACTGTATGCGGCAGGTGCGAAAGAGCTGTCTGCAGAGACCCAGCTCAAGCAGCACGCGTCCTTTTTCTTGAAGTTGATGTTGAGGCTAGCGGCTGGCACAGACAGTTGCGTTGGAGTCGCGGGGCACCTGAGGAAAGGCTGGGCTACAACCTTGTCAAAAGCCAACGAAGACAGCCGCTCGATTCCATGTCACCCACAGCCGAGTGACGACGGTGCTGCCTGTGCTTTGTTTCATCTTCACCCAGTGGGCTAGCAAGAAGCTCCTTGTGCCTTACCGTTTCCAATTCCCCGTCTATGTTGCAACCCTTGCTGATTTGTCGAACATCCAGGTGGCAAGTGCGATGCAATGACGATGGTGGTTTCACGACAACCCATCGATGAAGAGCAGCAGGCGGGGACAGAGTGGTCCGACCTCGTCTAAAATGTGGGCAAACCGGATGCGATTCGCCCTGCCATGTGAAGCACCTTGAGCGTCGACATGGTTTATCGAGCTTAGGTCGCCGTTGAGGTGGGAAAGAAGAAAAGCCCTGAGCTCAGCACGCGCTCGCGAACTGCAAAAACCAAGTCCAAGCAGGCCAGAGTTGACCTGTTCTCCCAACCAAGCTTCCAGCATGAAAAGAAGATGTCACTTAGAGAAGCCATGTACGATTTTTCGGTTTGTCTCCCCACTCCACGCCCGCCCCGCCAGCCTTGAAGATTCGGATCCTGAGCTGTAATCAAGCCAGCCTTCCGTCAGACATGGTACAATGACATCACATGATGAGTTCACGAGCTGGGTCTCTCTCCTCCAGCTCGAAGAACCAAGTCGGGAATGCGCTGGTAGAACAACCTCGGCTTGTTGGTTGCAGCATTCCAAGGATACTTCGCAGCAGCCAGGTGTGGGTCGACCTGGTTCGTGCTTGTGACTTAGCATCCCTGCATATGCGAACTTAGAAATGTTGGTAAAGGCTTGATGCTGCGTCGGAAGCCTTTCACAATCAGGTCCTGCCACGTGCCCATCGTCAGCGACAAAAAAAGCCCGCCGAACTTTCAGGAGGAGTGCGTGTGGCTGACTTGTGGCCGCTTTTGTGCCTCGCTCCCAGCACTTTCAGCTCTCGCTAGGACACGGCAGTGCAGGTCCTCGAGCAGCTGAGCGCTGAGCTGCGCGGTGAGCGCATTCCGGCTCAGTTTGGCGCCTCCTTGCCAACTGTTGCAGCTTCAAGCGACGAGGTTTACAGCGTGAGCATGCGAGGAGTCTGCCGTGTCACCTGCACGTTTGCAGGCATTGTGGCTGGCGGAGATTGGAATGCCAAAGTCCACGAGGCAACATTCGACACATGCACGCACCTAGAGCCTGCAACAACGCCTCTTGGTTGGCAGGTCGCAAAGCAGTACAAGGCCAAAGACAAGATGCCTGGCTGAAGCACCGCAAGAAGTGCCTGACATGAAGCTGCCATACTGTGCCGAGTGGTGCACCACTCGCAGCCAAGGATGCCAAGTTCTGGGCTCAGTTCCGAACTCGACCGCTGGAGCATGCCATCGGATAGTGCTGCATGCTAGTCGCATCCCTGCCTTGTCTAGTAGTTCAGTCTTCCTTTGTCAGAGCTCTGCACCTCAACTGCCAGCCGAGGTCTGCATGCACCACGTGGTCCAACATGTTTTGATCGAGAGTATGCCATTGACGGAATCTTCTGCTTGGCATAGAAAAGGGGGCCGGGCCGCCGGGCCGGAGCTGCCCAACGCAAGCCATGCCCTAAAGGCCCTAAACCCTTTCTTGAAACCCAAAGAAAGCAGCATTCCTCATCAGGCTGGCGCAGTGGGCAGCGACCAGACGAGATCTGCCCGGCACTAAGCAAGACTCACACATTCCAGGAAGCGCGAGCTACCGGCTGCTCAGCTACCTCCTGCGCGGGTGCTCGATCACGTCTAAGGTTTCCGGACAGCCTTTGTGCGGCTCTGGGGCGTCGGGAGCACAAAATAATACAGCCTATGAGATTATGAGAGCCGAGAGGTCCGGATGCCTCGAAGCGAAGCACTTCTTGTTGAGGCATGCACGAGTCTGTGTCTGCACCATGGCCGGAACCTGTGACAAAGACGAGCTCTGGGATTTTGTGGCGTCTTTCTTTTTGAGAGAATGTCTTCTCTTTCAGGTCGACAGCCATCGAGCCCGCTGAGGCCATCGCATGTGTTCAGAACAGTGTGGGCAAGCTCCTGAGTGTAAGGCCTTCAATGCATTATGGGACCGAGTACGCAGGATTATACACGGTCTTGATTGCCTGGAGGTATAACGCAAAGCCTGTCTTTACAGTGTCAAGCAAAGTAGGACGTCTCTTGTCGCTGGCCCTGAAGGAAGGCTGGAAGGCTAGTGATAGTGTGATTAACTGCGACCAAGACTTGTCAGCAGCAAGGAGCCCGACAGGCATACGGCATCATACGGCATACGCCTTGCTACTTGTAGCCTTCCACGGTCTTTCGATCAGCCGCAGGTTTGCAGCTCACTACGCAATGCGGAGTTGGAGATTCAGTCCTTGGATTCCAGGCTTCGCCACCCCTCGTTGGGGCAGGGATTGCATCTGCCGACGGCCAACCTTTGTGAGTCGCTGGAGGCCTTATGCTTCTGGGAGCATGGCCGAGGCTGCTGCGGCTTCAAGGTGCTTTGACACTTCACTCTGAGTGTGCAGTGCGTGAAGGTGTATTTCGGCAAGCTCAAAGACGGCACAGAGGTTGCCGTAAAGTGCCTCAGGCCGTGGCCTTGAAAGGGAAAAGGGCCTCTTCGGTGAAGAAAGGTTCGATAGTAGACGGCAGCAGTGCAAATCCACCATCAACTAGGTAAGGACCATCGAGAACTTTTTCCACTTGCCGTCAGGCCAGGAGTCAAGCGGCTGCTAGAAGCTGACTTGGCTTTGCTTCTATGTCGGGACCCAAGCTGACGCACCTTGACACGGATCCGTAATCGTCACATGCGGTAGTGTCGTTTCATGTAACGTAGTCGCTCGAGAACATGCATCTGTACGCGTACCAATCACGTGCTGCAGCCATGGCAAGGTTTTGGCAACTGGGCGGAGTCTCTGGAGCCTCTTCGCATGTCTTGGCCTCGGTCGGTTTAGTGGCCGTACGAAGATCTTGCAGGAATAAGTTTGTTTTGAGCGAGGTGTGTAGATGGAGGTTGTTGATGCCTTGCCTAGGCTAGGCTTGAAGAAGGCCGCAGAAGAGTTTTGCGAACATGTGCAGATGCAGACGGCGCGGCCCCCAAATCTGATTTCCCAGCTTCAGTTTACAGTTCGCATTGGCGCGCCAATCGTGAGCTGTCTGAGTCGCTGTGTGTGTGTGTGTCCCACCCTGTTTGAAGGGTTCTCCGAGAGAAGTGCAGAAGTGCAGTGCGATGTTTCCAGCAGGGGGCCAGAGCCCTCCCTGGGGGTCACCGGCCAACGAAGACATCCCCAGGGAGGTTTGCAAACGTACCTGCTGTAGATTGTAGTTGCTTGTGACGTCATTTACTTGGCCTTCGCTGTTCACTGATGACTCGTTGCTCCGGATGCTGCTTTGATCTTCCGCTTAAGAGTGAGTGCTTGGGAGTCTGTGATGAAAGTGCATGCCCTCTCTTTCATCTATTTTCTATCGGCATTTGCGAGGCATGAGGATTAAGGCAAATTCCTGACGCTTACTGATTCAACCTGACTTGGAGTGAGATACCTGACTCTCCAGAACGACTTGAGGCCTGCCGACGCATTGTGTCAAGAGTGTGTGTGTGTGCGCGCACACGCTTTTTGATTGAAACCAAGAGGCAGCAACAGACCTTCGCGGTATCCTTGCCTAGAACAATCCTACTGAAGCCGTGGCCTGTAGCGTCGTAGTCGTTACCTGACCAACCTAGCTTGCATCGCCATAAATATCGGATTAAATATCGTTGTAGTCATCGCATCACGTAAATAGTTGACATCCACCTACTGCTTCGCAAACCGACATGGTTCCGAGTCTTGCCGTTCTGCCTGTTTCTGGTAGTCTCGGCATTTTGTGAACAAGTACCTTGACTCCTGAATCCGAGCCGTCTTGCATTGTTTGGGTCAAGGACTTTCGCACGGAAGCCTCTCACCTGCCGGCTTCTCAGACATCAGAATTCACATGCGAAGCCATCGCAGTCTCACACATGGCTTAGCCCGGAAGCTCTGAGATGATGGCGGCTTGTCCGAACCTTTCCCAACTCAAAGTGCTAGTGCCAAGGCATCGTTTCCGCGAAAACTTCGAGGAGTTGAAGAGCCTCAGCTAGCACAGTCGAGGTACATGTGCCCGCGAAGAAGCTTTATTTTGTAGAAATCCGGCGGCTCCTGTTTTGGCAGCCCCGCCCTGCCGAGGTCAATAAGATTTCCTTCGCCGCTGTATGCCTCGCCTGCGACTTGGGTGCTCTTCCAGTCCCGGGTCGTGGGTCAGTGGCTTCGAGACTCAAGACCTTGAGGCGTGAGCACGGATAATCAGGGTGCTTGTTCTGGCCTGCATGGATCGTTCAGCTACGGTGTATGTACCATGTCGATGTGATTCTCATGCCACAACACAGGGCAGGGAATGTGCCTTGACGCCTCCAGAGATTTGTGAAGCCTTGCCTGGATTGACAACGAGCGTGAGTGCCGACAAGGGAACCCAAAGACTCTATCGCCACGAACCGAATTCGAGTTCATGAGCTTTGTCAACTTGGCAGGCGTCCTCACACACACAGGCTACGAACGGAGGAACGTCCTTGTTTTTCCGAGGCAAGAGCTTCTCGTGCTGTCTCGGGAAGTGGGAAGAGAGCCGGCCTCTCGAGCACAGCGAAAACTGGGGAGAGTGCCATATGATCCTCGAGGGATTCATGATTTATGGGGCATTGCATGAGGCGTTCTTTAGTAGGTATTGTACGGTTTCCCACCATTGTGTCTTGTGCTCAGCCTGTGCTGCCAAACGTGGTCCGTTTATGGTACGTTACAGGAAGAAAGCAACTATGACACCATGAAGTGATTTGACAGTTTGAAGCCACGTCCATATTCAAAGAGTAACAAGATGCCAATTCGTTTCAAGCGACAGGCCCGGCAACCTGCTAATGGCAACAAGAGGCTATGTGTAGCTTTCTGGGAGATGCTTACTAAGGCTCTCCCGTGTTTTCCGAGAGGCCATGACTTCTGCAGTGTCCTGAGCATCTTCAGTTGCCTGCAGCAGGCTTCTCCACGCAGGTGCTATGCAGAGTAGATGACAGTAGTATGGAGATACCGCCTGATTTTCAGGCACATGCGGGCTGGTAGGTAATTGCGGCACCACATCCCAATTCCAAAGATGGGAAAGAGTGCGAGTTATGAGTGACATGAGGGTTCCCGGGTCTGCACGACTCCAGTTCAAGCTGGCTCCTGCCTCCTAAACTTAGGATGGCCACGATGAGAGACAAGACGTTGACAAGTTCGAGAGCCACGCGGTACACCTCGCATGCTTTGAAGTGCATGTCCTTGCACAAAGAACGCCTGACGGCTGCATGGGAGGCAGATTATGCCAGAAACTCTAAATTCGTTTGATAAGATGCATGGAGTTTCGGAGTTTGCTTTGGCCAAGGGCAGCCCCGGTTTCCAGACACCTCTGGACTCTAGTGTTCAGGATTCTGCAGTGTTCGAACATTGGACGTGGATGGAGCTCTTCGAGTGTGCGGCCGATGTACATACCGGCAATCCTGACTCATCGCAACATTGGAAACTGTCGTAGTCTGACAAGACTTGCCGAGCATGTCACGAAGTTAGTCCTCATCCTTGCCGATTCTGGGCGCCAGGATACTATCAGAAGTATCTTGGGCATTCCGCAGGACCGCACCATGCCATGCGATGGTCGACACGAAATATCACCTGCTTGCCTGCCTGTTTCCACCAGTCAACAAGTTTGCAACGGAATCAGGACGTAAGTCGGAGGATTGCATCAGACAGCCAGAACCTAAGCATGCAATGCACGTGTCATGGCGATAGTGCCCGGCCTTCCCTTCCCTTCCCTTGCAGTTTTAGAGAACGGCATGACGTAGACTCGGCCCCACCCAAGCAAGGCAACCTGGAAGGCTGGATGCTATGCTGGGACCAAGCTAGGTCTATTGAGCTTGCCTACCTGAGATAGAAGATTGGAAAGGGGCCGGGCCCGGCAGGCAATTCCCTCGGTTAGGGGTCACCCAACACAGCTACATGGCTACGGCTCAACTCAGGCCTGGCTCCACTTTGCGCGTCCCTGTCAGCGATACGAGCCCATGCCATGGCCCCCTGCTCTCGAGCTCGCTGTCGCCATTGCGGCATGAACGTCGGAATATTTGGGGTGGAAGGGTTTGGCTGGAGCCTCCGGCAACACGAAGCCAGGTGTGCCGCAACTTCAGCGGCAATCACGGTCGAGGCAACCACGACGGAGCCCATGCTTGCAGCTGGGCTCGTGGAGGCAGCAACGACTTTGGCATCGCGTGTGGAAGTTGCAGTCGACGTCACAGTTCTTCCTGAAAAAGACTCAGTCAGACGTTTGCACATCCCGACAGATGAGCTGAAGCAGTTGTGGGAAGCCGATGTCGAGATGGCCAGTGAGGTCATGCTCCTCGGCCTCTTCACATGGAGGCCGGGGTCGAGTGACGCCGGCCCGCTATGTTCAGCGCTGGGGATGGGTCCCGACAATGATGGTGAAATATTGGTCAAAGCACGGCCGGGCAGGCTGCCACGACGGGCGCCCTGTCAGGAAACAACACTGAATTTGGAACTCCTTTCCAACCGGAAGAGCACATGGATATAAATTCCATAGTCAATTTCAACGAGGATTTCTGCGACATTGCGCTGCGGCGACGATGCACGAAACTACAGCAGCTACGCAAGGCCTAACGCCCAATTTGATGTCTGGCCAGGGTGGCGGTTAGGTTGGTGTGGCCGTGAAAGCCATAATCAGTTGGTTGCGGAATGCCACAAACACTTGTTTCTGTCGGCTCTTTTTTTCATTTCGGTGACTTGCTGATGTCGCCGCGGAAAAAGAATTGTTGTTGCTGTTTTAAACATCGTTTCACAATCTAACCTGCAACTGGCGGGAGTAACAGTACTGAGGCATCGCCTGTCCGTCGAGCGCAAGTGCTGAACAAATCCTCTGTTTATGCTGGGATAGGGCCACTCACTCCACCGGTTCGAGTTCTTGCATATACCTATTCAGGGGAGTGCGGGGCAAGGCGATTGACCTCTGGACCCCAAACATTATTCGCCGGCATCGTGGGCTTGTGCTGCTGCAGAGGTGTGTAAGGCCCAACTAGACTTAAGATGTCACGGAATGGAACGGGGTGCCGGGTGCCCTGCTGCGTCAATCACATTTTCGCTCGTAGCGATGCTGAGGTCTGGGGGCGTACATGCGCATGATCTTCAAAGACCAGTTCATCCATGGAGCTTCCAGTCCAAAATAAGGTCGTATTGTAGACGGGTCTGCGAAGATGCTACGGCATCCACGAGGATCTCCATCCTGGGAATGTGATGCTAAAGCCGTGCACTCGGATAACACCCTCGTCCAGGAACCATTTGTGCGATTCTTAGGCCATGTCATGCGTTTTTTAGCGCGGCTTACTACTTGCACACGCGGACTCGTGAGTTTGTGTTTTGTGTTCACACTGGAAGCGCTGAATGTATCGCCTAGTGTCCGCGTTGCGCCCGACTGTCTGCAGCTTGCAGAGGCTGGCTGGCGGCTCGAGCAGTTCTCACCCTGGACAGGACAAGGCCCGATCGCTTACGAGATGAAGATCTGGCCTGCGATCGCATTCTAAGCTAGTTGAGCCACGAGCACTCCACAGGCCGACGATGGAGGCTCCTTGGTTGCGCCTGCCCCGGTAGTGCTGGTACTCGTACTGTACTTGGACATCACACGCCGCAACAGCTGCGATCCTGAGGGCAAAGCCTCCGACCGCTTAAACTCGGTGGTGACCCGCAGGGGGCTCGGAGCACTGGTATGCATGCAGTAAGTGAGCTGTTTCAGTCTCGCCGGTTGTGGCCGGCTCTGTGCGCATGCGGCAAGGGTGGCAGGCGGCCGTTTCATGCAATGCAAGGTGCTCGAGGTCAGCCTTTTGAGCTGATCATTCTGGATGCTGGTGCCGGACTTACAGGCTTACAGATAAGTGTCACGAGGCTCGTCGGTCCACGTCGGTTCCACGGGATATGCTTCAATGATGCCGGAAACTCAGGCTTGGCGATACCACTCGCGCGGGAAAAAGTCGAGGCCGCACCATGTTACCATCATGTTTGCTTATAGTATTTGGTTGTCGTTGTTGGTCCCGTCCTATTTGACGCATCTCGGAGGTTCGTGTCAGAGAGTACCGGGACTTGATGCCAGGCCTTGCGCTCCCTCGCGCTTGCGATCATCTACGGCGACTTTAACCGGGCCCGGGCCAGAGAGGTCTAAGGGCGTGAGGGAAGCATCCTATTCTTGGGCACCCTGAACGGAGAAGTTCGTTCCGATGACAGGCTGCTCAGATTCTGTATGACCAGAGTCCCGACACCTCCAATTGCCAGGACCCAGTTTGTCATGTTGAACATTCATCATTGCATCTTCACTGTGTAGACTAAGAATCGAGGGCACGTCGGATTTGTTGCTGAGACGGCCGACCCATGTCTCAAGGACCCGCAGGCTTTCAAGAGCGGGCTGGCGAAGGCCGCTCAACCCTCCGTGGCTTTCCCTGACATCAATCGATCCTTATCGAGACAATGTGACATGTGTTTCCCCGAAGCGCACACAGGCTTCAGTGAAGTTGTGTGTGTGTGTGTGTGTTTGAGTGGGTTTGGGCGACGGGATTGTGGGGCGGCACAGTGCTTCCAGCCCAAGTTGCACAGTGACAATAGTTCAATAGTTGAGATCATGTAGATTCGTTTGCACCAAGCTCCAGGGGTCAGAGCCTCTAAGGCACCCGAACCGACTTGGCAGTGCCATCTTCCATAATCATGGCCCTTGACCGCTGCTTAAATTGACGTTAATGCGCCATGTGCTTCACGAATTTTCTCATCCGAATTTATCGGCACCCAGGGGCCACGGCTTCCGCGGGCCGGACATTAGTTTTGTGGGCAGGAGGGGGGGCATTCCATTTAACTCCTAGTTCAAGATGGCCCCTCCCCCAGCAGCGCAACCCGGGTCCGAGCTCCTGCAGGCATTCTGCGACTGCAGGACCAATGATGGCAGCTCTCATGCTGGCCCAAAGCCATTTCGTTACATGGAGTGAGAATATGTGAGAATGTCTTAAGGATCTCCAAAAAGTGTTGGCGCAGGAAGCAGGTCTACGAGGACGGGTTCGTGCAGGCCAGAGATGTCTCTTCAGTTGTGTGAAAGCGAAGCGCTTGCTTCGAAAACACGTTTGCGAGAGGTCCCCGTGCTACTTGGTTGCTGGTTGCTACTGTATAAGTTTGCAGCTTCGGCCTTGCCACCCTTGCAGGTCAGCGATGCTGTGTTGGAGGCACTTCGTTTGGTTCGACACTACAATGCACGGGGCCTACACTTCTGCGGTAGGAAATCAGCCATGCTGAATGGTGCTGGTTTGATGTTCTATACAGCGCTCAGTCTACCAAGATGCAGCAGTTCTCCGAGGTAGGACTCGACACCACGCTCACGTGGACCCTGCTGGGAATGCCGTTGCCCGTGGAACTCGCTTAGTCTCGCAAATTTTTCTGAATGGCATTGAATGGTACTGAATAACATCAACAATCGATACTATTAGGGCTACTTGGGTGCTGTGCTGCTTGTCTCTTGGAGATGCCCGGAATGCTCATGGTTGGAGGCTGGAGGCGATGTGCGATAGTGTCTCGTAAGGCTCAGCATTGAAGGCTCTGCGCGCCAGCTCGACCCAGAGGCGCACAGTGTTTTTGGCCGATCACAAGTCTGCTGCTTGGTACCCTATACACCCGGCGACGGGGCGGTGGATATCATTGTAGCTGATCGATAGAAGCCCTGACTTTTCTGTTGGCATGCAGTGTCGCGTGTGCGGGACCCGTCCGCCACAGAACCTGATGCTGCGGTGCATCAGCAGCACGGGGCCTTTCAACACGTGTTTCACCCTGAAGACGGTGATGATGAGGAGAGTCATCATTAGTCTTAGTAAGTCAAGGTGTCAACAGGATCTTTCCAGCAAGGCCTTCTGTGCTGCAACTTCGGTCGTCTGAGTGAGTGAAGGAAACCTTAGCACAGCGCATGACAAGGCCCACAAGGAAGCGAGCCATGATTCCCGAAAGCACATCTGAAGCGCTTCGAATCTGGAATCGTTGAGTTTGAGCGTCAGGTGGATTGCGCCAGAGCTGCGACGAGGCCTTTGAAGCAACCTTTTGGAGATGTGTGCAGGAGCTGTAGGGGCTGAAAGAGGGAAGGCGAACCTGCCGACGCGCATCAGGTGGGATGTGAAAGGAACCTGCAGGGCAAGTCAGAGTCGAAAGTTGTGAACGTGTTGGGATCTCTGTTTGGGATCCTCAGGTGTGCCACTGTTAGCCAAGAAATCAGACATGTACACGGTCACAGTCAAATGCAAGCAGACAGCACTGGGAGCTCTGATTTCCTGTCAGTGGTGAAGCTTTATGGCTCTCTGCTTTTGAACTGCCTTGTTCTGGTACATCTTTCTGCCAGGTACATCTTGAATCTGCCCAGCTTGCGGAAAGAGCTCCAGAGCCAATCCTGGCACACCTCAAGGTGCTATGGTTGCCTCAGCTTGGGTTCCCCCGTCCGGAGCCTCTGGCCGCTCCTGCAAAAACAGCCTGACAAAGGCACATGTTTACGGAGATGCTCATGAACCGGCTTGGATTTGACTACTGGGCACATGGCCCAGTCAGCTCCACCAGGCAGCTCTAGAATCAATAGGGAAGTCTGTGTCCACGGGAAGGAATTGTAATCCTTTGATGCATGCTTTTGAGGCTTTCCTCCATTAGTTCATGTTGAACTCTCCTCGGCATAATCAAAGTGTGTTCAACAGCGCAATCACTCCGTCCATCGCAGCCTTTCAAACAGTAACTAGAACCTTCAAAGCAACAGACAGCACAAAATGCGAACGGGGGGATGATGTCGTTCCACTTGCGGGGCGCTGGATCGAGAAGTGCAGGGCCACCACAGGACACAACTGTACACACCATCGGCATACTTTCATGAAAGTAAACAGTGGTGGCTGCCAGACATGTGCAAAAGTCTATAAGCTGCAGACCATCAAGCACTCGTGTAACAGGAACACGCCACTGAGCCTTGCCAGCTCGTGAACCGCATTCCTTCGAACATCCCCGTCGAATCAAAAAGCAACGTGTGTGCCGGCCTTCCTTTAGCAGCTTGACCAAAACCTTGCTTGCCAGCTAGCTGAGGAGTTGCGGAACTCCTGGTCGGTGACCTTGCCCTGGCAGATGAAGTCTTAACATGATCCAGCCTCAGACCCGTCTAGGCTGCGGGCTCTCCACACCACAGAAGGGATGGCAAGATGTGGCCGCTTCCAACCTTGGCCTGGATCTTTTTTGCCCAAGCTTTTGCTTACTACTGGCTGCGTAGCTCGAGCTCGCAGACCGTACTCAGCACGATTCCAGCCAATCTAGCATCCCTGTTCAAAGCATAATGCTGCGGCTTTTGTGCAGTGGCTCCATGGCTGATAAGATTGGTCTATCTTGCCTTGCCCACTGGGCCTATGTTATGACCACTGGCTTCGATGAACACACACCAGCGGGCCGATGCAGAAGAGAAATCGCTGGCCGAAGTTTTCGCGCTTCGGATGACGATGGGTGAGACGGGCATTCGGATGTCTAGCAAGTAGTCGAACAGTAAGAGGGATGTTCTGCCTCAGCGGCAACCCCAGAGTTGGAGCTCTCAGGACATGGTCGGCTTCGGACGGTTTCAGATGCGGCTGCTGTTAATAGCTGGCTGTGGCTTCATGGCCGACTCCATTGAAGTGGGTGGCATTGTCGCAGCAACGCCAGGGTTTGCTCAGTTTGCTCGCACTTGCATGTGCCACAACATGCCTTAAACCACGATGTCAAAAGCGAGTTACATTCCCACACAAAGTGTGCAGAAGAGTGTATCTGAGGTGTTGTGACCTTTCTGGAACGCAAGATTCCGGAAGAGTGGCCTGAGGCTGAAGGAAGCTTGCATGCGAGCCAGACGATGCAGCCCTGCAGTACCTGCATGCAAGTGTACATAGTTTCAGCACAAGCAACATGACACTCTTGAGTGTTTGCAGAAGCCAAGGATGGGCTTTGAACGCCTTGTCCATGAGTGTCTTTGGCACGAAGCTGTGCCCCTACTGCATTTGGGTTTAGCGAGCTTTCTGCTGTGAGCAGCACCGCAAAGGGCCCTGCCGACTCTAAGTCAAGACACATGACACACCGTGTGTCAAATGTTGGGCTTTCAATTGCATCTTCGCAGGCTTGGCAGCTGCATTTGGGGCAGCCTGTCCGATCGCTTGGGTCGGAGGCGGGTGTAGTGTAATCGATGGAAAACGAGGCGTGCTTCAAGTTGGGGCTCAAGCTGCGAGCGTTTGGCCGGTGCACGGCTTGGACGCCTTGGACGGCTCTCGGTCTGGGAGTCTGCAGATGCCGGCTTGCATGCGATGAAGACACCTGTGGCCAGGCGAGCCTTCTTGCTGGCTAACGTCCCTTGGCTTCTGCTGATAGCTGAAACCTGGATTGTCTGCGGTGTTTCCATGCAACATGCAATACATGCGGGGATTCTGTGGGTGCACTTCTGAAAGACGGATGCAGAGGGTTCACCATGGTTTACCTAGGTCCTAGGCCACGGGAAAGTCATCGTCTTAGGCAGCATGATGAGCAAGCCTGACGGTGTGTTTGCAGAGGGTCTGCAGCTACAAGCTGAGGCAGGTTGGGGCTGTTCTTAAAGGTCATCCTTTCAGGGTCCTTCCATTGAAACCGTATTCAGAGCTAGGCTGGAACCACTCCGATGTTGGCAATCCCAAGGTTTTTCTACTGGTCACCGGTTGCCTCTCTGCAGCATCTCCCTCGTAGCTGGCCTGAAGGGAGGAAGGCTGCAGCATCGCAATATTCGCCTTTGGAAAACAGTGTCGTAAAGTTGCAAAGCGCACTTTATTCCCGACTGTTTTAAAATTGGCACCATGCATTGACGGTCGCTTGCTGTTTCTGCCAGCTTCAGGTGTCCGGTGAGCAGAACTACAAGCAAGCAGACGAGCAGTCTGTAGGTACAAGTTAAGTAGCAGGAGTGAGAAGCGCCCTTGAAGCAGCAAGCCGTAAGGTACACATGGTTGGTTGTGGCCCGCGGATTGGTCGGCCTGGCCATCGGTGGCGTTGTGATTCCCTTCGACAACCTGGCGGAGCAGCTCCTAGTTTTTTGCAAGGGCCTGCGGGGGCAGAGCGGCATGTGCCGTTTGATTGGGCCTGGCTTGTGCAGCGTTGCCCCGGTGCCGAGGAGAGTGTTCCGGAGAAGTATTCGCACTTGGCCAGAAATTTATTATCACAGAGTGATAGGTGGTTTGTAAGTCGGCATCTGCCCGAGTGTATAGTAAGTTTAGTTTGCACTCGATCTTCGAATCAAAGCTGGACGACTTTCCAGCCGCTGGCAAAGGAGCACGATGTGCTATGCGATTGAATACGCCTGGACGCTGCTGTGCTGAAGAGTGTTGATTTCATGACACTTATTGCCTGGGGCAGCAATAACTCTACACTGTGCCGTTTTGGGGGTCTCGTATTTCTGCCAGCTTGTCTGACGGAACAGCAAGATCCCGGATGGAGACTGATGGAGGCGCAAAGGCGGTTTCGTGAGACTGCTTAGGATCGGCACATTGTACACAAACGCCCTGGCTGCCGCTATCATGGAGACTTGGGGTTGGAGGCACCGTGACCGCAAGAAGATCAAAGAGCTCCTAATCGGAAGCTCGAGTGTGATGGTACGGAACGCCTTCATTGCAGCCAAGCTCAGAGCCCGTTAGGCTCCATGCCAAGGATATACTTGTTGCTGACTGCTCTGCCCATTCTCCTCGCATGCATTGGATATTTGTATCTCGAGGACGGCAGAGGGCTGAAGCGAGCCACCTGACCTTTCATCGCCTTTCAATAATTTACCTGTCATTGCTGCTGTCAACCCGCTGTGCTTCGCTTTGCCCCAAGAACCTCAGCATTAAGTTTCCCGGGTGAGATGTCAGCAAATGTCGCGCGTCCTAAGTACCTGAGGGTTACTTGGGAAAAGCACCACGTTTAGGAGAGCCCTTTGTGGCTTTTGGACCGTGGTTACGACGATGATGCACTGGAGACGCTGCGTCGCATCGCCGCCGTCAACAATCGGGAGTCTCGAGTTCAAGAGCAGACGTAGAAGTGATGCAGTGCGAGATGTGACGTATTCCGATGGTTTGCCACCGTAACGTCTTCGGAGGTTGAGGGAAGAGACATGGCTGACAAAGCCACTGTTGCCTATTTCCCGGCGTGCCCAGAGTGCAGAACAGGGCATTGCAAACAGTGTGCAGGAGCTTGGAAACATAGCACTGGTCTCATACGCGCATGAAGCGGAGCCGAACTGTACGGAGCTGCTCGTGCCTTGCATGCACTTTAGAACGTGTGAGGCTGTTTCGCCAGGCTGGCAGTTCAAGCAGCCCTTAACATCACCTGCAGTGAATGCAATGTGTAGGCAAGTCTCTGGTGACTTCAGGCGCCATCTCTGCGACGACAGCTGCTGTCGCTTAGATCCTCAGACTGCATGCTACCAGGTTCGTTCAGGTGGTACCACGGCATGATGTGACATATCGTTAAGCCGTCGATTCCCTGGCCTTTACTTTTCACCTGGAACTCCAATTAAGGTGGGATTTGGTGCTTGGGACTCTTTGGTTATTATGGCGCTTCGATGGCCAGCGGCTTCCTGTTTGAATCCGGTGGAACGATGGATTATACTGAAGTGCTGTTCACGAGTTTTGGCGAAATCGTCGGTACGACAGCCGTGCTCCTTGCGTCGTTTCGAATCAGTGCTGCGACAGTTCAACCGTGGTGCTACTTGTTAAGTTGCCTCGGCTGCCTCGGTGTAGCTGTGGCAAAGCTGTTCAGCGGATCTAACATCCTCATTGCGGTGCTGGCCTTCTTGGTTCGTGCTGGATGCATGGGTGGAACTGCAGCAACGCCTTTTGTCTGCAATTGTCAGCAGACAAACAAGTCTTTCGAAGAGTGTGAATGTGTCGGCGACATGAAGGTGGGTGCTGACCCCAGCTGCATTTCCCACGCACGTCCGCTCGACTGCTCACAGCCTGTTGTTTGCCTGGGGCTCTGTGGGAAGCTTGTTGGCAGCTCGGTGAGAACTTGATGCGGGCATGAGGAAGCTCTGTCATAGCTCGGATCGACAGATGGCAGAGATGGCCTGAGGCGACCCTTTGGCCTTCGAAGACATCCGCGACAGTCAGTCGCCATGATTCAGCAAAGAAGTGGTCGGCACATGTTGGCACAAGGCATATCATCGACTGCACAGGTCATCATGGGCACCTATGCCGTTGCCAACCTGGCGTGCGTGGTCCTTGCTGTTTGGCAGGACCGCGGAATGGCACCGTTTCTTCGATGCAGATGGCAGCTTTCTAAAGCGATGGCGAGCTCTTCATTCACATGAGATGAGGCGTGGTGCCTTCGACAGCTTGATTTCCGACCTCCAAGCATCCAACCTGGATCGGCGGGCCCGCTCTTCCCTCGCCCGAAGCAGCCGCGCAGCCTCTCGGTGTGCACATGTTCCGCGCATTGCCTCCTTTTTCGATGCTGAAGTGAAGCGGTCGATTTCGCGGCGAAAGCGGAGGGGGGGGGGGGGCGGGTCGGCCAATTATTTGTTTACGGAGCTGTTCGGAAGTGCTGACGGTCAGGCCAGCCGCACAAGCACTGTGACCGGCCGGCCCAGCAACATGAGTCGTCCTAGTTGGCCGTTGCTGCCGTCCCGCACAATGTCTCGCCAATGTTCCGAGCGAGACCCGGAGCCTCGTGGTGTTGTTGAACGCGGCATGCCCGCAACCTGACTCTGCACTTGCTTAACAGCACCTGCCGCCACTGCCATGTCGAAGCTGGTGAAGATGCTTCTTCAATGGCAGCTTGCTTCAGTTTTGGTTTTACTGGGCAAAGTTCCCGACATGGTTCGGTTAGCCGGACATGCGATTTGATTGATCCTAGCTAGCTGCATCGAGTTAGTTCTGCCCTTTGGTGGGCAGCTGTGAGAACTTCGCTTGCTCAAGGGCCAGCGAAGTTCCATGTTGACAGTGAGAAGATTCACCAATTGGGAAGAGTCGCTCAAAACACAAGAAGTATAAGTCACCATGACATGGAACGGCAGGAATCCATGCGCTTTCTTTAGGCCAGCAATCGTGCTGCATTCCGCACCCGTTGCGTTTGCTGTGCTGCTTGCTCCAAATGCAAGGCCTTCCCTGAAGGCCTTCTCTGAGTTGCTCCAGCCATCGTCAAATAATTTTTTGAAAGCATTGTTCCAGCGGCTTCGCCACCGGGATATACCGGGATGCTCTCGAGAAAGTTATTGTTAGTTGCTAGCGGCTCTTTCAATCCAAGTGCCGTCAGCAGTGTATCAGGCTGCCATACATTTTTCCTGTTGAGCATCGTTTACCAAGCATGGTTCACTGACGTCAAGATGGTTTCACGCGAGATGCAAAAGCACGGCTACCATGATGTTTTCTCGTACCGTGACAGGTGGTAGTTACAAACTATATTGCCAGATGTCCGTGGTGGTGTGAGTGACGATGGACGATGCTGACACACATGCCGATGCTGACGGCCATAACAGTGATAGTGTTCTACTGCTGTTTTCGCGTTTCGTCTTTGGTAGTTGTTGCGTTCGTCCTCATGGCCGAGCTTGCGTTCAGGACCGGCCCAGGGCATGGAAGCTTGCTATTTTCGAGGTGTCCGCGCTGTTTGGCCCAAGGCCCAAGGTCCAAACACAGCCAACCATGGAAGCCAGATCTTGATTAACTCATCGCATCGTCAAGCAACGTTTCATGCCGTTGCCATTTTCAAATTGCGCGATGCGCTTCATTGATCGGCATGTTTTGTCTCGGCACGTAACTGGTCAGCAAATCTTCTAGTGTGGTGAGTGTACGTACTTGCCGCAGCCATCACACCAATGCCGACGAGGACGGTGAGTTTGCACGTTGGCCAATTCAGTTTGAAACTTGAAACGAAGCGTTTCGCGGTTGGGAGTCATGGAGGATCTATGTCGGCAACCTCGACAAGGATGTCCCTCCCGAGAAGGAGGCAGACCCCGTTGTGCTGTAGGCTGTTATAGTTCAATGGCTGACAAAGTGGAAGAACCGTGCACCACTTCATAGTGGTCGGCAAGCAGCGAAAATGGTTGCAAGGAGCTCGCGAGGAAGTTCAAGAAGTATGGCGACATTGTGGATGTGTGGGTCTCCAGACAGCCAGCAGGTGCCTTCCTAAAGTCTTGCAGGCTGCGCTGTTGTGGGCAAAGAGTAAGGAGCGTGCCCAGCAATGTCGAAGAGTGTTGAACAGTCCAGGATTTGCTTTCGTCACTTATGACACGTACAAGGATGCCGGGGCCTTGAGTGCTTCTGGCCAGGATTTGTGTGTGCAATTCCATGCTGAGATTGGCCACATCCTGTTGTGCTGTAACTTGCTGCAGCTGAATGCAGTGCATGCCCAGAGCAAACACTGATTGCCGACGAACATCGCCGAGGCATTGAAAGCCATAGAGGAAATGGATGGAGTGAAGTTTCAGGCCGTTTTTCAGGTAAGGAGATCTTCTGGAAACCCTCGTACGTCTTCCGACGTAGTCATGAAGTGGTGATGCAGAAGTTTCAGTGAGTGTGCAAGTTCCCGACCATGACGTCATGTTTTCATTGGAAGGGCAAGAGCCTGAACATCCAGCTCTCTATGGGGAAGGGCGGAGGCCAGACCTGGAAGTCGTTCGAGCGCTCCTCTGCGTATGTCGTGGCAGCAACCGCATATAAGACCCAGACTGGGGCAGTCTTGGACAGATTGGAGAAGCCCTGATCCTCCAGCCAGGTGGCGGGGCGCAGCCTGCCCCACGTGGTCCTAGGCGAGAGAGAGAGAGAGAGAGAGAGATGGCTCGATTTGCTGCGCTGTCAGCGGTTGTCAACGCGGTGCCCAAACTACACATCGCTTCTGAGGCGCAGCAGTCGCAGCAGGAGCCCACGTCGCCCTGCACGGAGGCTATATCGACATTGCGTCGCACCAACATGAATTCGGAACGTGTCAGCATGCCTGGCCTTAGTCATTAATGGGCCGAAACTTTTTTCGGTCGCGGAAGCTGACTGCATCGGCAGCTCCCCCCACACTCGCAGGCGCAGCCGAAGTCGCAGCCGCCGGCGGAGCCCTTCCAGGACAGGCTGGTAACAAACCCGTCCAGAATGCTGGGGACAGAGTGGGATTGATGTTTCCCCTGGACTCTCTTTCTGCTCCATGCCATAGGCGGAGAAGAGCTCGAAGTTGTTCTCGATCACCGTCTGCGAGACGGGACAGGCTGGTGCCGTTGGCCTATACTGCAGAAGGATCTAAGAGTTGCGGAGGAACGAGTAGGGCTTTTTGCAAGACTTGGGCCCAGTCCTCAGAAGGTGTTTGTAAATTCCTGTCATACAAAAGCTGTTGCAAAGGCTAACTGAGCTTTGTTTCCCGCCTTCCTCGGAGGTTCCATCCGTCAGCCTACTTCCCGATGCTCCTGACTCTGAAGATACACGAAGCGAGCCCTAAATTTCCCAAATCCTTTCAAGCTGCCGGTTTGCCCGAGTCGTAGGTGTCGAGATCCTGAAGCAGCCTGAGGCCCCAAACCCTGAAGCGCCAACTCGGAAGACTTGACACCCTAGTGCTGAGATGCTGTAGCTGCGTAGCTCTACTCTCTACTGCAGAACAGGCACTTAGCTTCCTGAACCCCGAACCCCGAATCCTACAATCCAGTGTCCTTGTCGAGCAGGGGCTCACCTTCCTACGGCAGGTGAGTTGAGAGCGCTCTAGGACTCTAGGGTTCGCGGTTTTAGAGTTGAAGGTCCTAATGCCTAGGGCTTCACGTGCTAAGGAGGAGTTTGAGTGTGACTTCTGGGAACCTCGAATCCGGCTGAATAATCTTTAGGAGCGCTGCCGCGCTTCCAAGTGCATGTCGGTTCCACGTTTCGCTGTTATTCTCACCGGCAGAGCGCTTCTGATCATAGGAGTCTCCAGAGGGCCGCAGGGAACATCTTGCTGCTTTGCGGTTGCTTTTTGATCTCCGTGAGATCTTGAATGACACCCGGGATCCAAGTTGCAGAGTCCTTCATTTCTCTTGTGGCCTGTGCCCCGCCCACTGTTCTAGCTGACAGGTAGCCGACATGACAATCACACTGACGTCGGTTAAGTGTTTTTCAGCGTAGTCGGTGCAAGCTCACTGCAGCTCAAGCGTACTAGTCTATCACAATGGGCCTGTACATCATATTCGGCAAGCTTACAGAGCTCTTACAATTGGGGGGCGATTTGCACCACTTGGCCGATTCGCGAACACATCCTCAGTGAAGCCGTATGCATGTGCATGCATTTGCCCTCTTTTCCACTTACGTGACCCCTTTGCAATAGCATTGAGCGATGTACTTAGCGATGACTTCAGCAGCGGAATTTGCAAGGGATTTTAAAAGCGTTGGAGTTCATGAGCAGCTTCGCAGCTGTGGCAGCCACCTAGCCTTGCGCCACAAACTCATGGCGCCTGGGGAGGAGATTGCCGGGTCCTGTGCAGTAGTTCGTTGGCGATGAACGCATCGACAAACGCTCACAGCGGACAGGTAGCTTGTCAGCAGATCTCAGAACCGCACTTCATTTAGCACAAGACATTCGAAAGTATTGCTGTTACCGTGCTGGTTGGAATTGGCTGGGCCGTTGCTATGAGGCAAGGCTGCATTATGTTTGTCATTGCTTTGAGGTGCCAGACTCCCTGGCCACGGCCAGCTTCAAGGCGGGGCGCAGGGATTGACTGGCTGACTGGCATGCCCAATGCGATTTGTTTCGTCCCAGGCGCCTCCGCCCTCCAAGGCGGTTAGCCAGGCATCAAGCCCGAGAATTGCAAGAGAGACTACCAGCTTCTAGGTACAGTTGTTAACAAAGACATCTCGCAGGTGCCACCGAAGGCGGTTAGCCAGGCTCGCGGAAGCAGGGTCCGGCCAGTGCTCAGGAGCACGCATGAGGGGTGCAACGAGGAAAGGGTCGCAGGACGTCTTTTGGATCTTTTCCATGTGCAGCCTGTGCTAGGAGCGCAAACACAAAAGGAGAAGTAGGGGTCGCCTTTACAGAACTACCACGACTAGGATCAGCATTATGAGTGGCGGCTGCTACCTTTCTTCCTTCACTGTGATGGTGATCAGTCTTGCCATCGTCATCGGTCTTTTCATCCATGGTCGCCCTTTGGTACATGTCAGTTCATATTCAACACGCGTAGGGTTGAGCCGTAGAGTTGTAGACTGGCCCAGGTCCTCACCGACCTCAGCACATGCTTAGGGTTGGGAAGCATGCGACTTCATGCATGTGCCTCTCAGAAGCTTCAAGGTGTCTTGATTCAAGGCTTACGATCCGCGACTGTAAGCCGAAGCGCCAGGAAATTGACGCACCTCCGAAATCGGCGCTCACGTCGATCCACCTGGAACAACAACGGAGCCGAGACTGAAACTCCCATCTTATCGTCAGTTAAGGAAATGTAGCTCCGACCAGCGGTAACATGGGGCTGATGTGTCCTCTGCCACAGGCGCCGGCCACAGTGCCAGCCACAGTGCCGGCTACAGTGCCGCCCACTGTGCCATCGCCCACACCGGTGCCACCGAAGGCAGTAAGCCAGGTGCATAAGCATGTGAGTCATGCTGAGATTGTGTGTCAGTCTTGCCTTTCTTTGCCCGGCAGAATCAAGAGCCTTGCCAATGCAGGTTCCAGAGATGCAAGCTGCGCAGGCCAAAGCTGGCTTCAAGGCGCCACAGCTTTGTAGGTCCCGAGCACAGTCTGCAAAGCCTACGCATCGGAGAACCATAAACTTCGGCCTTGTTTGCCAAAATGTGCAGGCCCTGCAGCATCGAGTCCCCTCGATTGCAGAGTATGCAGAAGCTATACCAGTCACAGCATGGCCGACTCATTTCGCCTCCGCAGGCGGCGCCTGTGATGGCCCCGACGCCACCGGTGACGCCCGCGGCAACCGTGGCAGGGATCTTGTTTTCGCTTTGTCGTTTGCGAGCGAGTCTCCGGTAGATAGCCCCTAGCCGCCCCTAGCCACTGCAGCTATCTCCTGTGAGGTCAGCGGATTCTTCGATCCCTTTTTTTGTTTTTTTTGTTTTTAATCTTTCGCTCTCAGCACAGGTGCCCGCGGCTACCCCTGCACCAGCGCCTGCCGCAGTCCCTGCACCGCTCGTCGACCCGGGGCACATTGACCCCTCTTGGGAGGTGGGGATTTGGAGACCCTTCGATCCCACTAGCACGGGTCTGAGATAGAAACATAGAAACAGGTCCCGACCGCGGACGAGTCGGCCCCGCCTAAGGACGACGATGGTGAGGGTGCACGGCTTGGAGTTGTTCGTGGCCATTTGGCGGACAGCACTCCAGTGCAGCTGATCCTAAGGATGGCTGGAGCTTCTCCGAGATGGCTGGGATCTTATCGGAGTCCGCAGAAAGAACCGCATTTTCTTGCACATAACTCTCGCATGCTTCGTTAACAGATCCGTGTCATAAGCCTAAGAACACGGAGGCGGTCAAGACCCACCCACAGCAAAAAGACTGTTACAGAGCAAAAAGGGAAGGATCCTGAAGGATATGCAAGCCGAAAGGCACTGACAGGGCAAAGCTGTACTGGCACCGGTTCGCACTCGAAGGTTGTACAACGTCCAGGTTCTTTTCGCTCCATTTTTTGATGCGCAGTAATTACCCCGTGGAGTTGTAGACCAGTGCTGCAAAAGCTCTGTAGGTTCTGTAGATACAGTAAAGTTGCACAAAGGCAGTCGGACGTTCCTCATCCACCTGCGATATTGAGAACAGGGGCGAAGTTTTTCCAGCAATGGAGAAAGCCGGCAGATCAAACATACAGGCATCCCCATGAGTTCACCACAACAAAACTGAGGACCTCAAAGGGTCTCCACAGGCGTACTGAATCGCATCCAACAGAGTCTTAACGGCACTCTCATCACAGTTATCAGAGAAAAGGGGAACCACTGAAGGACAGAGCGTATTCTGTCGCTCGTTCTAGATTCTAGCGAATTGTGCACATGTCTTCCTCCAAGCTCGACGGGTCCTTCTTGTTGTGGAGACACGAAGAGCTCGGGTGTTGTTCGGCTGACTGCAGAGGTCAATGCTTAGGGTTTAGGGGTCTAGGACCCATAGGGTTTGGCGTGGGCAGGAATGACAAAGAACGGTATTATATGGTGCACTTGTAGGTGGAAGGGGAGTGGAATCGAATCAAAAGGCATGACATCGAACAGAACCCTGTCATGCTGGCACCATCCCAATCTTCCGCGAAGAGTGCAGACGGCCGTTGTGCATTAAGCATGGTCTGAGGCTACTTCCGACAGCTGCGGGAGGACTGGAAGCGAAAGTGCTGCACTGTAGGTCCGGACCAGAACTCACTCACTCAGCAGGCCAGGCCAGGTACATCAGGCATGGCGCTCCTTGCACCACTCCAACTCTCTCCAATTCCCGGTCCGTTGAACACCGTGTTTCTAGCAGTCTTAGCAGTCCTAGCGGCCTAGCGGTCATGCCAGCAGCGCGCATTGGAGTTTAGGGTTTAGGGCACCGGTCCTATGCGGCTTCGGCTTCCTCGCACTGCAAGCTTTGGTCTCACTCGCTCCGCGCCAATGCAGCCAGAGTTGACTTTGAGGCATGCATGATTCAGAGCGTGGCTGTGTGAGATTGTGCTTCTGAGTCCAAAGACCGTACTCAGCCCCAACTGTTCCTCGTACATGCTGCCACACAGCAGCTCCCGTTTGTCCGACTGTGTGACAACCAGCTGGGACGGAAAGCAAGTCACCGAGTGCACAAAGCTGCCGTAGCCAAACAAATGCTTCTTTGAAGGTACGTATGTCCTGAGATACACTCATTTCTTCGTTGATTGAACCCTCAGCCGTGTTTGGCCACTTTTACGACAATCGTGCTTTAAAACCGTGGTGCAGTGTGCAAAGAAGGATAGCGGAGGAGCAGTGCAAGGAGCCGTCCTGGCTCCCACATCTTCGTGGGCCTGCCGATCCATCGCCTAAGCCATCGAATCTCATAGAGTTCGATTCTTTCATCGAGAGTAGAAATCGACACTTCAGCTTTGTGGCCGGCACCAACGTCTCGTCCAATGATGCTGGTATCTCGGTGTTCCATCTCAGCACGCAAGACGTTACGAAGTGTCTCTGCAGGGTTTTATGCAGCTACAGCAGCCAATTTGACGTTGTACAGCTTATTTACTGTATTGGTCCATAATTTGGTTCTTTAACTTGGTTTCTGAGTGAACAAAGATCCAATGAAGGAGAACGAGTTCAAGCAGCCGCCGCCTTATCCGCGGGTTATGAATTTCGCTGCTACGCCTGGGCGGCTTGGCTGACTTAGCCGATACAAGATCTATGTGGGTTTACGAAAATAGGGGGACCCGAAAAAAAGTACCCTTAAGGACCCCAAAATACGGTACCCTAGTTTTCGGAAAGTCCCCTATCGCCTATCATTCCGCATCTCATCATTCCATGCCTGGCGGCTGGCGGTTTAGACTTTGCGTTGATGGTCCTCAAAGGCTGCCAAGATGATACAGGACAGACCGAGGAAGCTGTTTGTTGCAGGTTCCAGGAGACAGCAACAAATTTGTATTTGCACGCACATCGGTCTCCTACGCGCCCGGGAATCGGAAACTGTGTTTCGCAGCTTGCAAGGCTCGCGTATCATCGGCCGCAGACATCGGAATATGCAGCTCTTTCCGAGAAGCTGAATTCAGACGCAACACCTGTGAAGACAGCCTGGTCCGGATCCCTTAAGCCATGTGCTCACTAGCGAAGCCTCTGCACAGGCACCCAGTCCCACCCGGCAAATACCCGCGCGTTGCAGGGAGCCCAGAGAATCGTGGCGCTCGGACAGATGTTTGCATTCTACATTTTGGTTGCACAAAGGCAAAAGGAAGATGCACAAGACATCAAAGCTGAGTCCCCGCATCGATGGCACCGCCTTTCTCAACCCAAGGCCTTAGAGTTGCAGCGGCAGGTGTTGATGAAGCCAGATTCTCAGACATTTCCAAAGATTCCCTCGGGTTTGTTTTAGCCACGTGCAGTCTTCAAGATTCACACCAATGTCCGGAGCAATGCAGTCAGCCTGGCACAACTGACAGACACTGCGCATTCGTGAACACCGCAGCAGACAGCGCCCTTAAACTCTTTCGTTGCAAGTTGCTCTTTGACCAGCTGTTGCCAGGCCCTTTACCATAAAGTTCCTATAGAATAAGAGTATACAGTACGTATTATTATAATATTAATAGTAAAACAGTGTTAATATGTTTCAGTTTTGAAAACTCACTGGGCAGTTGACCGGCCAACGGCTTCCAAGGTTTAGACCAGACCCACCGAATCCGTCTAAGCGCCTCCCTCAGGATATCGTTTTTATCAGTTATCGCTGCGCAGGTACTGTTCTGAAAAGATCACAGGTTCGTTTCGGTTCTCCTTCCAAACGCTGTGAGAAGCCGTGTGCATTTGTTGTGGTGGTGGGTTCGAGTTTGGCCATCATGTGCTGATCGTGGGTCAGTGGCCATTACAAGCTTCGCCAGGGGAAAAGGCTTCGGCAAGGGCGGAAAGGGAATGGCCCCCGCCTCAGTACTAGGTTTCGCAGCAGGCAAGTCTCTCCCAGTTGTGTCAACGCGTTGTGAAGAATTCCAGCCGAGATGGGCATGGGCATGATGGGCGACTGGATGATGGGCGGCTGGGGCGACTGGGGTATGGACTGGGGAATGATGGACATGATGGCCTGTTCCCCAGAGCGCATCTCACACAGTCTCAGTCCGACCTTAATTGAGCCACGGCGTCACGACGGCTTCCTTGCCTCACAGTGCCTGCTTAGGGAATGAAAGGAGGATGCCAAAGCCTCAGAGTTGGGAGCATCTGATGGTGCCATGGTGTACACGATGTTTGACTACAGATTTCCTCGCCTCATGTACGCCCGTGATTCGTACGATACCTAGCCGCCCATCCTGTTCTGCGAGCTTTGGATTGTCAGGGGGCAAGGGGAAGGGTCGTGCCGCCACGCTTCATTCAGGGCCTTGTGCTGATGTAGGTGCTCGCAGTTCTGGAGCTAGTGCACCTGACTGTCCGTCTGTGTCTGTAGTAATTCAACAAGCTTAGCACATGCGACATGCCAATGGCAGGTGGAATGGGAAAGAAAGGCTCCTTCCCTGCAGCAGAGCGACGCAAACCCAACAGTCGAAATATGTCGAAATCCTACACATCCCCAAAGACCAAAGAGACTCCCAGCGCACTCCTTCGGAAGATCCAGGGCAACTAAATTCCATTGTCTGTCGAGAACTTTGCGTTCAGATTAGATGGTCATTTGACTCGACTGGCAGTTGCTGGCACTTAATGTTCGTACTGCAATCCTGGTCTGGTGGCAATGATCGACATCATGGCTGAGGAAAACGGGAGAACACAGCAGCGACCGCGGTGTAACATGACCGTCAATTGGCTGTTGTGCCACCTGGAGGTATGCCGTACTGAGAAGCAGCTGCGCAGATAGAATCAGCGGCTCTGTCAAAAGGTCGTGCAGTCTGAGTCATGACTCGAGACCCCGCATCGTTGCAGGGCTTCTGCCTGCAACATTCCCAAGCAACGAATCGCAACAGGTGACTGCCAACCTGGAAACATGGACAGCCCAAAGAAACATCAACAAAGCGTTGAAGAACTGGTTTCAATATTTCCGAGTCCTTGCACACTCTCTGCCTAGACCACGAATGCAGGTCATTTGAGGAGCCCATAGGAGCCCTGTGCCGCCGTGTTTTCCAGCTTCATAGTTGACTTTCCTGTGATGATGTGTGGCACGCCACGGCAGCACAAGATCTTAACGCAAATTCAGCACAGCTGCCGTTCGTTCTTAGTGCAGTGTTCTTGTTATTCTTCTTGTCGTTGTTGCTCTTGCTGTTGCTACTTAGCTACTTGTGAAACTAAATCATAGAACGTCTCTTCAGCTTTGGTGCTCCCTGCGACTGCTGCAAGCTCCCACGAACACGAAGCAAGCTTCATCACTCGCTTGAATCCTTTGTCTTGCGCTGCTTTGCTACCTGCTGCGCGGCACGCAGCAGCCTCAGAGGGTTGAGGATTCAAAATTTG